TTTACTTTTAGGACACATTTGATTCCGAAAAGCCGCGACTATTAGAAGTCATCTTCCCAGAAATGTGGCACTGCCAGTGATTTCATGAAGAGCTAATATTGTAAAAGTGGGAATCCGCAGATTCCATGCCTCCCCATGGTAGCCTCCACTTTGGAACTTCGGTTATTCAAAGTAAGGTGCGCCTTCAAATCTTGTTGGAAGATGTAATTCTGGTACCCAAAACCCTATGATGGCCTTAAAATGTATTCCACTCCTAAATATGAAATTTAAAACTCCAAAAATGGTGCAAATCTTGCAGATTTCTAAGCTCTTGAAATTTTGAAAATGGACATTCAAGATAGTGCATTATGGAATGGGCCACTTTTAGGATATGAAATCCTTTTTTTTTTTTTTCATATCACGCCTCTAGGTCGAGATGATTAATAGGAAGGTTTTCTAGCACTGGAACAACCTTTTTAGTAGGGTTTCGAGGTGTGCCTTACTTTTGTAATGTAAGGTTGACACCTTATTTGAACTTTTTCAATATGTGTGTGCATGTGTGTATTTTTTTTTATTATAATATAACTTGACACAAGTCGATGTAACGGTTCTCTGGGCTCTGCCGTTGCTGGGGGCTTTGGACCCATCTAGGTCCTGCCCATGTATATTTGGGTTGGGTCCCAGTTAGTTGACTCAACCCATAACTGACTTGTTGACACCCTTATGCCTTAGCAACATCTATCTTTTGCGTATGCTTTGTTCATGGTTCTTTACTATTGCTTCGTTTGTGTTCTTCTACAGTATTTTACCCATCATTTGAACTTTATTTCTTCGAATTTGAACAACTTGGGAGTAGGGTTGGCAAATGGGTCAGGTCGACGTGTTGACCTTGCGGGTTGACTCCACCAACTTGGCATATATGAAAAATAGAGAAATTTGCGCTAATATCCCCCAAATTAGCGTTATTAAAGAATTACCTCCTTAATTTTTTCATTATACGTCTATACCTCTTTTTTTTATTTTAATTCTTAAGTTGCCGCCATTTTGGATCTTTAAGATTCGAAGTGATGAAGTTATTTTATGACTTCAGATCTTGAAGATCTAAAGCTAGGGTTTCATATACAAAGTTAAATGTGAATTAGAATTTTCAAACTCTAAAGTCACAATTTGACTTTAAATCTTGAATATCCGAACTCAGGTCATTATATAAGAAGTCAGTTGTAACTTCAGATCTATAAGGCCTGAAGTCAAATGTGACTTCGGATATTGAAGATCCTAAATCATGTTTGACTTTGTATATGGAGGCCTGACTTTGGATTTTCAAGATCTGAAGTCATAAAAAATGGCTTTGTCACGTCGAATCTTGAAGATTTAAAGTGGTGGCAATTTGAGAGAAAAAAAAAAAAAGAGAAGAAAAACGATATGCATGTAAAATAGAAAAATTGGAGGGGGTTTTTATAATGCTTATATTAGAGGCTGTTAGCGTAAATTTCTTCTAAAAATACCTATAATTATTGGGTGAGGTTTGCATATGGTTGCAACCTTAAACAATCAAAGTAAGGTGCACCTCCAAACTATGTTATAAGATGCAACTTTGTCGAAATTTTTAGGATGGCTCGAGAATCTATTTTCATCTCTAACTCTAAAATTTTATACTCCAAAAATGGGTCAACCAAGCAAATCTATAAACGTATGAAAATCTTGAAATTAAATGGTCTAGATAATGTGTTGCAAGATGTACTATTTTTGGGACTTGAAATCTTTTTTTTTTTCCTATTTCCATTCATCTTGATGTTGAGATGATCAATTGGATGGTTTTCCAACATCACCAATGGATTTTTGAGGTGTACTTTAACTCTATAATTTAAGGTGTCAACCGTAGATAAACTTTTTCCATAATTATTATGTATATTTATAATATCTTTTTTTATATACCCGATCCGATCTGCGACCCGACCCGACCCGACAGATTGGGTTGAGATCATGTTAGATCCAGGTCGAATCTGGATCCGACCCTGACGAAACACGTTTACAAGCTTACTTGGAATATTGATACTTAATTCTGTTTGTATTTTAAAGATTCATGTAGTCCTCTGTTACTATGTTCTCGTTGGTAGTCATTCTTTCCATCTATGTTCCTGCCATTTTCTGTTCTTTCTCAAGAAACTGTTTGCTATTGGTGTTTTGCGCCTGAAATGGCCATACTAAGGTGTCTTTTCCAATTGTTGCTTCTATCATGCGGCTATGAATGACTTGGTGTTGTCGTGAAGGCCTTTCTTCCCCTTGCATCATTATTGCAATAGCTTTGCTTGGACAGTTGGTTGTTCTGAAAGTCCCTATTTCACTGCATATGCTTTTTGAACTTGGAGTGTTTGTTGTATGAGAATGCCTAGATTAGTGTTTTTATGAAAGCAAGGATGTTTGTATTCCATCCTGTTTCATAATGCTCTAACATGAAATTTTCTTGAATTTTGTGTTCTACTCGTTTTGTAAAGTTTAGTTTCTAAAAAATAGGTTTTGGAAGTCATGAGACGATTTTCATTTAACTCTAGAATGTAGCAAGAGTGATTAAACAATTGGATGTGTAAAAGGAGTTTGTGTTTCATGAACTTAATTTTTGAGGCAATATGGTATTCTTACTTGCTACTTCCTTTGCCTGTAATGAGAGCATGCTTTGACATGTAAGTTCTCCTGATCCTCTGCTGATTTGGTTCTTCCTGTTACATTGACATTTGTCGCCTTTCTAAAGGTTGTTTTTCTTATTTCTTGACTCTCTTTATGCAGCTCTTTTTTATTGACATTTTTATAGGTTTTTCTGAGGTCATTCACTACATTTTAAATAGTTGGCTCCTATGTCACTGTAAAGTATTATTTTGTATATTCTATTACTAATTCTTTATGCTGCATGAGTTCATATTTTCTTGGCTTGGGGAGTATGAGTACTTTTACCCATTGTATTTGGAGGGATAAATCAGAGTCTTATCCAATACTGTCTTGTAACTAAGTTGTAGTTTGGAACTTTCTTATGCTTTTGAAGATATGATAGAAAGATGATGTATATGTTATGTATTTTGCATTTGTTGGATAATTAGTCCTTCCTGGTAGATTTTTGTGTACATTCAAAAGTATGTACATCGTTTAAAGGATGAAGGTGCATTACACTATTAAAAATAATACAAAGGATGCATTACACACTTGTGGCCAGAAATAAATAAGACAACTAAATATTCAAGGGGTGAAGTTGGTAAATGATGGAAGTGAAACTTTTAAATAGTTCAAGTTACATGTGCGATATTGAAGGAAATTTTCGGTAAATAGTAATCCTCTGCAGCCCTAGGGGTAAATCACTGTATCAGTAACAACAGTACCTGGTTCTGAATGGAAGTTAATGCCAGTCTAATCATATGATCGAACTGACGACTGAACCACTCAAGGGTCTGATGTAGTCGAAACCAGTCCGACCAGTCGAATCTATTGGACCAAAATTTTAAAATTTGTAAAAAAAAAAATCAATAACACTAAAAAATATGAAATTTCTTTAAGAAAATTGCCCAACTATTTGTAGGCAGTTTAAGTGGTCAAAACTAGTCACAATTGCATAGGGCAAACATTGGTTTTGACTGGTTTTCGTCTAGGTCTTGTTTTTATTTGGATTAAACCGGTTAGGGCATTCATCGGCGGTCCATCCCGGTCTTGGTAACTATGGTTAATTCCTATTATGCCTTTGTCAGCGGATGAAACATGTTTATACACTGAAATATGAAATGTGAAATACTAATATATATGTTGGTACCTTATTGGCTTTGATTAACCCTTTTTTGGTACCCTGCTGAAAATATTATTTTGAAATTGGTTGGCAATTTAGGCTCATGCCACTGAGGAGCATCTGAAAACTATTGAAAATCGATTAATTGACTCATGTATCAAACTAAAGACTCTAATTTGTCACAAAACTCATACCTTGAGTTTGATTTTGGTTAATTGACTCATGTATCAAACAAGGGACTCTATAGCAAGAAAAATGACTTCAAAATACATATCGAGGAGGCAACTAGAAGAGTCTCTTTCCAGACTATAAGGACTGAAATACAGCAATTCTGTACACTGATTTATATCCTAAGATATAAATTTCAATATTGATTTTTTCTTTTGAATGCATACAGTCCACCCGGAAATAGTGGGTCTTTATGTGTTTTGTATTTGGTTTTCCCTTTTTTGTCTGTTAGCTTTTTGTGTCTTACCTTTTTTGTAGATTTATGTGAGGTGCTTGATGTTTTTCATGGTAATGGTATTTGCTGCATTCATTGAAAATATTTAGAGGTTATTAGTGTTTTTGGAGGGTTTTCCTGGCCTTTAGATGTGGTTTTAAAAAGCGGCATACCGAGTCGTAATAACTGGAGCTCGCTTGGACCCATGGGTGGGTGGGTGGTCCAGTTTGAAAGATCACTGGAGTTGCCCGTTTCCTGCTGGTTTCTTAGTTGTTTTTCTATACTCAAAAACACCAGAGAACCAGCCAAACTGGCTTATTTTGGGCCAGTGACTGGTTCGGACCACCAATTCTGTTTTAAACATGGTTTTGCATAGTTCTATATGTTATGTAAATCGTAGATTTGACTGCACGTGCTGTACTAGTGTTGTAAGTTGACATACAAAAAAGTGGGGGACACTATTTTCCCTAGTCTTCTGATGTCTTTATATATTATGAAAATTTTATTTTATTTAGTTTCATGGGTGCGTAAAAGGTCTGCTTTTGTAGAATACACCATAGTCTAATACATTAGGGTGAGCAGATAGTTGACCGTTGGAATACCATATTATATGGTCCAATATACTGAAAAAAAGATGTATACCCCCCTCCTTGAATTTGTACCCTCTCTCTCTCATTTGTTCCCATGAACCAACCTCCCGTCCCCCTCCCCCTCTCTCTCTCTTTCTCTCCTTCTACCCGATGGTTCATGGGAGAGAGAGAGAGTTCACTGGAACAGATGAGAGAAGGTAATAGGGGTGTTTTATGCTTTCAGGTTTTGGACTAGAAGGGTATAAATATGAAAAAGTTTAGCATTTTTAGAAAGAAGAGGAAAAAAAGCGTTGCTAATAAGGTACTTGTCATACTTTTTATACTTTGTGCCTCGTGTTTTTTGGTTCGTGTTTTTTTTTTATTTAGCAGTGGCATCATTATAAACCGACTTTATATATCTGGCAAGAGCTTGGAGTCATTATGATAGTCTGACTTGCCTTTCTTCGAGATAGAGCCGTATCTTTGCGCATGCAGACAAACTTGTGCAGCAAACAACATGCTCATACATGCATCTCTCTATCACGATCCATCATTTCAGTGGACAATGACAATCCTAATGGTGTGGTTTCCCATCGTCCACCGGATTGTGGCTTACTCTCTCGTAGACATTTATGTTCGGCAAATCGTTATGTACATCGACATGAATGGCAAGGGTGGCTATTTTGTATTGTGCAGGACATGGTAGATGAGCTGACAATAGAGTTTTGAAGCTTTTTAGTAATGTACAATGAATTCTGGAGTTGTTGACTGTGTTCTGTCCTGATGTTGTGGACTCGGTCAATTTCACTTGTTGATTTGAACTGGGTCATACTTTATTTGATTTTGATTTACCAAAACAATCATGGATAGGTGTATTAAAATTTGCATTGTGGTTTGATGAAATTATTTTTCTAGATCTTCGAAGTATTTGTGGCACCTTTGTTTCATTGGGAAGCTTCCTAATATGAAAGCTTTGTAGGGACACTTCCGTATTCCTGCCATATTTTTTGTGTCAAATTTGCATGAAAAAAATCCCGTCATGGACATGTTAAGTCTGTTACGGTCTTTAATCCACGTCGTTCAAAAAAATCCGACAAGAGAAAATATTGTTCATTTTCATATATATATATATATAAAATCCGGCAGAAAAAATATTGTTCATTTTCATATATATATATATATATATGAAAGGGCTTTATCACAAAAATATATTGGTGTCTTTGACACATCGGCACGTTCGTAGTTGCTGCTATGTCCACCGTGTCACGCTAAACAGACATGGGAAAAAAGTTCCCAAGCGAGAAAGTTCTCTTTGCCCTAGGCATGGGAACGAGACGAATATTTTGCTAGCCAATGTCAATAAATGTGGTGTTTTTTTATGAAAGTTTTTTTTTTAAATTAATTGGGATCGGCAATATGAATCTTGATCTGACCTTATGTTCTATTAAGGGTCATTTTGCTCTATTAAGAGCTATATGTAAATGTGGTTTTTTTTCGTTAATAATAAATATATCGTTCTTTTTGCATTTTGCATTTTTTATAATCGTAATCCATTTCGGTGGTTCCAGAATCTTAAACCTTCTTAGATGGAAATGGGCAATTTTAACATAGGCTTGGTAAACGTAATTGTGGTGGTATTATATTATTTCATATAAAACAATTTAGATCATGAGTGTTGTCACAGTTAGTCAACCTCAATTAGTTGAGATAAGGTTTGGATGATGAGTACTTATAGATCTTTGTTTTTTTTAATTAATAAAATTTACCATCAAAAGCCAATTTAACATTTGTCAATTCGGCGTGGGCTTAATCAAGATCCTAATGGGTGGGACTAGAGACTTAATATTTGGCATTAATGAGAGGTTGCAATGAGCAAGGTAATCCAAATTGGACCAACCATCAAATTGGTTAAAGTTGTGCTTTAGCTTTGGTTTGACGATCGCTTGAATCGATTTAATTTTTTTAATAATAGTATTAATTATATTAAAAATTGTGTTTTTCTTTGTTTGGGAAAAATTTTATATAAGGCAAGGCTCTAAAAAATCAAATTAAGGAATGCCTCAGATATTCAGGTTATTTCGATGCTGAAAATAGTTAAAAACAAGTTTCGAAACTCAAAGGTATGATGTGTAATTTTTTTTTATTTTTATTTTTTAACAAAAGTACTTACGTTTTATTAACTAAATAGGAGTTACAACTCATATCTCAAAATAGTACATATGACACAATCAACGAATCCAAAACAACTCATTTCTTCCCCAAACATCTGGCACTTCAGTCGCTTCTCTCTATGCATGATGAAAGCTTACTGAGAAGACGATGTTAGCTCCATAACTTGCAGCCACAATCATCTCGATATCTTATTACACCAGTTAATTATCTTGAGAGAATCACATTCAATCACGAGCAAATCACCAAGGCATCTTTCCTTCCAAATTAAAACCCCTTGCACAAGAGCAGCCATTTCCAGCAACTCACCGAGGCATCTTTCCTTCCAAATTAAAACCCCTTGCACAAGAGCAACCATTTCTGCATGATTTGCCGATGCAATGCCACACGGACCAGCATAACATAAGACAATTGACCCCACACTATCTCTACAAACTCCTCCCACCCTTGCCATACTTGGGTTATCTAGAGAAGATCCATCAAAATTTAATTTGAAACATCCTATTCTAGGCGACTGTCATATACTTCTTGGTCTAACATTTATGATCCGAAGTGAGATCAGATTTGCCAAATTAACACTTGGATTTGCCAAATTAATAACTGGCAATTTTTGATGTCCCATAACCTTCTTTAGTGACAATAAACCAACTCCATACTTTATGCAAAATCCTAAACCAAACTCCATACTTTATGCAAAATCCTATCTTTAATCCCTTGTGTTTCCAATGATATTTCATCAAAAGTTCTTATATTGCTTTCCAACCACAATCCCTTGTGTTTCCAATGATATTTCATCAAAAGTTCTTATATTGCTTTCCAACCACAATTCCCAAATTGTAGTACCTCTCAAAATGTCCCAAATCATCCCACCGACTTGGGGAAAACCACTGAGCTTGAGATAATTTAAAATATTCATTTAAAAATCTGGAATCATCAACATAACACCAACTTTTTGCATCACCTACCACCAAATGTGGTGAGATAAAAGACGAAGAATAAATGAGAAACATTTTCTTCATCTTTCTTGCAAAAGAGACATACATTGACTAAAAGTTTTCCTTTCTTTCTAAAATTATCTGTAGTTGGAATTTACCCTGTAGCATCCCCCAAATGAAAGACTGCACCTTGTGAGGCATCTTCCATTTCCATATATCCCACAACTCCTGCTGATTCCATGTCAAATGATCATAAAACGTCAACGAATAGGCTTACTTTACTGAAAAGATATCATCATGCTATACCTCCCATGCAAACTTTTGCAAACTACTTCTAACTATAAAGAAAACTTAAACTTTTAACCTTTTTGAAGTGTTTTTTCTAAATTAATAAAATAAAACTTACCAAGGTCCGAAATTTGTTGTTAAATATAATACAAAAAATTAAACTTTGGACCTTGAGTTTGAGGTCTGAAACAGCGGCAATTTGGTTATTTTAAAAAAAGGTAAATAAATTGTGTATAATGGTAATGATGGAAAATTTTGGAGTTATTAAAGCAAACAAAAATTTCAGCGGATTAAAAATTTCGAAAAATATGAGTATGAGCATAAATTTATCTAAAATTAAGTGCATGTTTTCATTCGCAAAAGCACTTTTGTGTGGTTTTGTAACAATCCTAAAATTTCAAAAAAAAAAAAAAAAAAAAAGGGGGAAATGGTGCTTTTAATAGGTGATGGTCTGATTGAGTATGATGGTCCTTGGGGACCATCACTGTTTTCAAAACTTTTACTTTGGTTTAACTTTTGCTTTGCCCGCTTTTGCCTCCTGCTGCTTGCAGCTGGCTAAAGGACGTGGTTTTCGTACGATAAAAATAGAGACACTTCAGGTATGAGGTAGAGCGTAATAAAATAATATAATAATACGTTATAAGAATTTAAATAAGGGATGTGAGCACTCCCACCCTAAAACAAAAATTTTGAGATCTCTCTCTCTGGTCGAAACACAGTGAACTTCTCTCTCGAACCGAATTTTTTATCGGAAGCTCCCTCTCAAATAATTGTGGGTAAGTGACATCGTCTTCTTGAAAAATAGTCTGTTTTTAATAAATAGTGATATTTCCGTCCAGGATCTTTATTTTATAAGTTTTATGTGTAAGTGACCCCATTGTCTCAAAAAATAATCCATTCTTTTTAAAAATGAAATGAAATAATTATTTCTGCTTATTATCATGAATTTTAGGGGCGATAAATTTTATGCGCACATGACCCCATTATCTTGAAAAATAATCTTTTTAATAAAAATTGTGATATTTTATCTATGTTAGAAATTTTGAATGCTGTAAATTGAAAAAATAAATTTATTTATTTTTCTTGTCTATTGGTAGAAATAAATGTGATATTTCTGCTTTTAGTAAAATTGTGATATTTCTTTCTACTGTTTTGAATATTTAGACATTGTAAAATTCATGTGCAAATGACTGCCTTATTATTTAAAAATTAACATTTTTGCAATTGATTATAGTATTGTTGTGAAATGTTTATTTGTGAATTGATATTCCATAAATTGTGATAATTCCGTATTCTTGAATTTTTATAAGAGTTTTTCTATACATATTAAATTGGCAATTATGCTAGAATGCCTTTACAAACTGCTACCTTTTTAAATTTGAGCCCAAAATATTTGATTGGTTATTTTTGAAATATTATAGAGAGTGACTGTTATTAATGGTTTAAGTGAAATTCATATTAATGGTTTAAGTGATATGTTGAGTACATGATATTGCTGCTTTCGAATGTTTAAAGAGATTTA